CATGTCTCATTACAACGTTCACAATCAATGCAAACAAGCAAATATCACACCACATAGAAGAAACAACAAAATCATACAATTTAAGTTCACAATCATGCTTTCAAGCATTTCATCAATCAATCATCAAGGGTCACAATAAGGCAAGTCACATTATCATGTTCATCACATAGCCTTTTTCATTTCAATTCTTTTTTATTCATTTAGATATAACAAGTGGACAGTTTAAACCCTTCACCTCATTCCCATTACTTTCAATATGCATCAACAAAGGAAGTATACAAATTCAACTAGAGTACAAGGTTTAGGAAGCCACTTGCCTTAAATCAATCAACAATCACTCCAATAGTTGAGTCTTCCCCTTCTGGATCACTTTCAATGCCACACAATCTATGCATAAACAAGTATTCACAATAAATTTTTGGAAACAACAATACTCACATCAATTTATCTTGAAAAGTGAACCAATCAACATAAACACAATTCCAAAAATAAGGTTTGAATTCGAAAATTAATACTTAAACACATTACTCAGGGTTTTAGGAACTCATTAAAGAAAATCATTTCGAAAAGGGACTTAAAATCAGTTCACAAACTCCATTTTAGTAAATTCTTGAAGAAAATTACCAAATTTCTCATTTCAAAAGCTTGATTAGAACACAAAAATCCAAAAATAATAATAGTTAATTGAAGATTTAGAGTTAAGAATCGTTACCCAAAAGATTTTACTCAAAAACCTGGTCCAAATCACCTCCAAAAGCTCCCAAAACTCAAAATTGATCAAATGGGGTTGAAACCCCGACTTTAGAAAACATTCTGCCGATGAAACATATGCTCATCGTGATCGCGACCCAGGGTCACGCGATGAGTAAGGCAATCAACTCATTAAAATTGATCATCGAGATCGCGACAAGACCCGCGCGATCGCGATGCACTCCAAGATGATACTACACGATCACGATGACCAAGATGGTCATGCACCAGAACCTGAAACCAACCAAACTCAAAATCATGGAAATGAACCTCGAGATTCGTTTGGAACTCCATACACACAAATCAGATATGCAAATCAATCAAACTCGACGTTCCAGACTCAATGAAATCGTCATAACATAAATATGAGATTTTCTTGACCCGACATCCGTGAAAACCACAAGAAACTAACTCACGTCTAACAAGGCTAAAACGCTCTCGGGCCTCTCAAAAATCAACCAAGACCTTAAATAAGCCTAAAATCATCCCTGAATCTAACAGAACTCTCAAAATTCTGATTCGAGCATCCGAACCCCAAATATTGACCAAAGTCAACCCAAATGCTAAAATTCCACAATTCCATAACTTAGGACCTCAAATCCTCAAAAAGACTCGAAAACTGAAACCGACAACTCTCACGAATCAGATTTCACATTTTAGGATGGATGGAATCGACGAAATTCCATTCTGACACTCAAAACTTCAAAAGACACCGAAAATCACTTTCTTAACAACTTAGCTTTTTAAACTCAAAACTTGCCAAAAATCCCAACTTTTAACTCAAAGTTCAAAACCAACTTTATAAACTTAATCATGAAAAACTCGGGGTCACTATCGAGAGGGCAAAATGGTAATTTTCATGGAAAAACAAAAAATGATCGACCGGGTCAATACATTTTCTTCCTTTTAATTATCAATGATTTAGCATAAATATTGATATAACGTATCGAATTATGATTAATTTAATTTATATAAAAGTTGAAATATAATTATTTAAAAATGACAGTTTAGTAATAATAGTGAAATGGGGTAATAGATCTATTATTAGTATCGAAGTTCAAAGATGAATATCAACATACTCTAATTTTACAGGTTCAATACTCGAGGTCAGATCTCAGGTTCCGGATTGAAAATCGAACCAAGATCTGAATCTTTTGAACTTATTGATCATTTTCTAACCCGCCTCCGATCTCTTTGAGATATATGTCTTTCACTTATGTTGATATATAATTTTTCGTTTTAACTTTTTAAAATGTTATTATTTGAGTTTTGGTTTCAAATTTATTATGAATGTGATTATTTACTTCTGTGATGTGTCTGATCTTGTTGATTTTAATTTTTTATTTGACTAAAATAGAATAACATCACTTTATTAACTTTTGAAAAAGTCAATTAACAAGGTCGATACAATTACATAAATCACGAAAGAGAATGATTTCTTGCCTTTGTTATAGATTTTTAATCCATGCTCAAATTAAAACTCTACGAAAAATAGAAATTAACTATGACTTTTTCAATCTGTAATTAAATTTATTTTATTATTATTTAAATAGAATTAGCTACGTACTTTCATTCTGTCTCTATATTTTTCCCTTTATTTCATTACTTTTTCGGTTTTTTATCAATCGATTTTCTTCATTGTAACATTTTTTTTATAAGAAAGTTTAGCTAAATGTCAAATCTAAAAAGTGAGTCATTAAAAGGTGTTATTAACCCAAAGATTATATTAATTTTGTGTTATTAACTTAAGATTACTTATTCTTTACCTATTTTTTCTTAACATTAAAAAGAAAAGACTCAACAAGAATAGGATTGAGTAAACAAGAAAAGGACTTGACGCGACACGAGTCAAAATTTGCTTTTATAATAAAAAATGCTACATAAAATTCTTATCTTCACCCAAAACTTATATTAATTTTGCCTTATTAACTTAAGAAATTATTTAATATTAACCCATTTTTCTTTAACATTAGAAAAAAAAAAAAGACTCAACAAAGAGTGAACAGAAAGTAGAAAAACAAATTAAGCTCAACAGACAAATAATTTTGAGTTGATAACATAGTGTGAAACCATTTTATTTAAAGATTTAAATGATTAAATTTTTTTATTAATTTATTTAATCATGTCTTCGACAAAATGATTTACTGGAAGAAACTAGCATTGAAAATTTATATTCACGGCTAAAAAATTAAAAAAAAAATTGATGGACAGAAAATCGACGAACAAGGGTCGGTCCAAAAAATCAAGGGAATACCCATCCTATCCATTTAATAGAAAACCAACGAACTTAATTAAAGAAAATTGACACAAGTCTTTTTGATTTTTAAATTATTTTTTTACAAAAATAGACAAACGTATCGATTTTTGAAATGCAAAAAATTAAAGTTGAAGACTAAAAACAAAGGATGAAAATATTTTTATGCGTGGCCAAGTAATAGAATTGTCCACAATCATAGAAAATATATGAGTTCGATTTCAAATAGCTACAAAATATTTATGTATATTTCTGAAAAAATGATTGTATTCATTTGTACTATCCCTCGATTTTAACTAACAATGTATGTCAATTTCACGAGAGCAATGAAAACTAAATCAACTATATTTTATCCGCAATTTGGAAAATCGACTTTATCCGTTAATTTTAATCCTTTTTTTTTAGTAATGATTACTAATTTAACTAGCTCCGAATGGAGACATAGTAGGAGAGATGGAGGAAAAAAAGTAAAGGGTAAAATGAATAAAAATGAGCAAAGTTTAAGTATCAGTCTTATCTAAATCAAAATAAAAGTGGTTTGCCACTAACTGATATTGGCATGAGGCTATTGTACGTAATGTGAAAAAACAATCAAATTTATGCTATTCATATCAATAGACATAAAGGCAATTATGGGATCAAGTTGGTATGTTTATGCTTGCCACCAATTTCACCTCATGCCTCATGGGTCCTTTTCTATTTTCCTCTTTTTATGTCCTCCTTTATTCACTATCTTCTTCTTTATCTTTATCTTTATCTTAAACTTATATGATATTTATTTTCCTTTAATTAAAAAATGCAAAAATAATAATAAAAATCAATAGGTAGATCTTCCTAGAAAAACCATTCATTGAGTTTTGCATACATCTTCTCTTTTTTCTTTATGGGTAGCTCAGTTGACTGACTATCTGAAATTTCATATTGCTAGTGAGGATTCGATCCTCCATCTTGTAGTATCTATTGTGCCCCTATTTTCCCTCCCTCTACCCCCATTTTTTCTTTAAAAAAAGAAAACATATTTATTTTTCCAATTTATTAGAATTTATAAGAAGTTCAAGTGTATGATTTTTGGCTTATAAGTCATAAGTTAGAAATTCTAATTAATGACTTTAACATATTTTTATTATTATTAGATTAAATTAAGTGCTTATAAGCATTTCTTTAATTTAACCAAATAATACAAGGTATTTAAAAATTATTTTAACTTAAAAATGTACGCTTAAAATAAGTCAATCCAAACGGGCTCTCATGGTCTTTGAAAACAGGAGGAATAGTTAGATTTTTTTCTTCTTCTTGTTTCCATCTAATATATTCTAGTCTTAAAAAGGGGAATCTAAATCTATTTTGTAATAACAAGTAGTGCCAATAAGAAAAGGGGAAAACAACCTCCTATTTTATTACTATATTAATAGTGGGAGAGGTCCCCCACCAAGGCTAATTGTAAAGGATTGGTATGCAAAATGGCAAACACTTTTTTCTAATTAGCAAAAAGATCCAGAGAAAAAAGAAACTCATAATTTGAAAAAGTATACACATGCAAACACTTTCAAACAATTAAAAGAAATTGAGAAAAAAAAAACGCAATACAAACTCCCAAACTCTAAGCATTATAATGCAAATTAAATTAACAATATAATCTAGTAATACTAGTCCTATATGTTTGCAAGATCCATTAGAAAAGAAAACTTGAAAAAGAAAAAAAAACAAATTAAAGCCAAAAAAAGATCAACCTCTTGCTTATCTATGGTGTTGGCTCCAAAATATAGAAAAAAAGCTAAATGCTATCAAGCTTTAGGTTGTTGTAAGCTAAATAAAGCATATGACAATCTATGATTACTATGCTTTAATCCCATGCACGTCGAAATCAGCTATATGAATCTTCATTGATCATCACATGACACGTTCAGTTCAGCTATATGAATCTTCAGTAATATAATCATCACACACGTCCAGTTCAACTATATGAATCTTCAGTAATATAATCATCACACACGTCCAGTTCAACTATATGAATCTTCAGTAATATAATCATCACACACGTCGAATTCAGCTATATGAATCTTCATTGCTGATCATGTCTCTACCTCCATTGATTTTTCCTGGGGTTTCCATGAGGAAGCCCATACCACTTGTTCTTCTCTCCATGTCAAGTAAATTCCAGGTGACTCTTGATTTGCTTGTGGTAGCACAAGTGACCATCCAGCTTTATACCTCTTAAGCAAAGCCTTAACATCATCAACAGCATCATCATTTAGTGTAAACGGGGTAAAACATTCCTTAAGTCTTGTACACCATTGGTTTCCTCTTTCTCTTCTTTCACTATCTCCTTGATCATCACCAATCTCATTATTATCACAAGCCAAAACCTTAACTATGCATTTAGAACATTCCCTTTCGATCACTAGCCTTTCGTTGCTTGTTGTTGGAAAGCTTTCATCAAGCATCTCAAAATACAATGTGTAGAACCTAAGACATTCTTCAAAGCACTTAACAAAGTCATTCCTTGTGCTAGAAAAATCAGCCTCATGTTCTACTATTGTCACAACTTTAGGGTTAAGTGATTGAAGCATTCTTATAAAAGCTCCCCTTTCATCTACTTCAACTCTTCTCAATGCTCCAATGCAATTCACAGCCAATGCTTCCTCTTCTTGTATATTCAAACTCTCTTTCGTGAGTTCTTTCAAATGGTTCAATCCACTTATAACATTAAACTCAAAAGGCACTCCCATTAACCTAGCAAATTTCTCCATCCTTTGTGCTACTTCTTTCATAACATGAGGCTTCACTAGGGTGCTCTCCATGACCACAACCGTGAGCTTAAGATGTGGCGTTTCATCGTTTCGTGTAGCTAAAGCTTCAAGCAAAGTAGGCCATTGAGTACAAAAAGTGTTACTTATATCAATTATATGAAGCTTATTCTCTCCATCTAATGCTTCTAATATTGCACCATTTGATGCAACATGACCAAAAGTTGTCCATGGACTTACCTCTTGAAACTTTAAGATCAATTTCCTAGATGAATCAAATGATTTGCTTTTTTCAGCAGCTGAAGTTAGGGTTTTGTAACACCTCAAGCCAGTATCCGTGGCCTTACAAAAAAGTGCTTGTAAGAAATAAAATGCCAATTTTTGATTGCAATCACCATAGGGAGAAGCAAGTTCATTCAACATCCATAACAAGTGATGGATCTTTGTTGAATCCTTATTAGAAATCGCGGTAGCACACTCACGGAGAAGCCTAGGAGCCCACTTGGAATCGGAAACAGGCTCAACATCTTCCGGTGATTGACTTCTTGATGATGATGAGTTATCATGATGATTAGGGTTTTGCATGTTTATCAAATGATGATGATGATGAACATACTTGTTTGCTATGAAATAATTTTTATAATTTGTAGGTTTGGAAAAAAAAAGAAGACTTTTCTCCATGTGTTATGGAGCCCTCTTGGTAGAGGCTCTAAGAAAGCACTTTTGCAGGTTTAAAGCTAAAGCCATAAGAAATAATCAAAGTAGAAAGAAACTTTTACAAGGCCTTAATATATAAACTTCTAGAAACATAATTGGTCATATATATCCTCACAATATATATGGCCTTAATTATTGTTTGATTTTATTAAACTCAAATCACTATATATATGTATACTCTACTTTAAGAAAAGCTATGGTCATCAAACTATATTGACAAATGTAGGTGTATACTCTATAAAGGCATAAATAAATTTTAAAAAAATTGTAAGTATGTGATAAAAGGAAATGATCTCTTATAACCACATAGTTACAAATTGAATAAAAGAAAATGATATTCTCAGATCTGTTAGAAAAAAAAATGAAATTCTTTTATAAAAAAAAAAAACTAAAAGAACATGTGAAGAATTATATATAAAATCAAATTCCTTGAAAAAAGCTCGATAAACTCTTTATATCTCTATTGACAAATCAAAATAACAAAAAAAACATGGGCTGGGGGGTGGGTGAGGGGGGAATGCATGACTATGATCTATTCTAAATGCAGCCGGTTGAAGGGTTCATGTCAACATTATAGGAAAACAAGAATTTAGAAGCAAAGTTGGAGGGTCCATGTCAGCATTATTATTTTTATTATTATAAAACAGTTTTTCCTAGGAATTAATAAAATATATATTAAAAAAGTGATCTCCATTAATTAATTGCAGACCGTCTATGTGTGTATATATAGAGATATTTGCCCTTGTTAATAAGAACAAATAGATGATGATAAAAGCAAGGTATATAACGACAGGTTAATTATGACTTACTAAATTCTCAACAAAAGAAAACGGAATAGAATAGAATAGAAATTAATGGAAATTTCTACTTGACCATGTGAATTATTATTTTTTTGCAAAGAATCTACAAATTAAAATGATTGAGAAAATTGTTAACGAAATGCAAACTAATTAATCTCTACAAAAAAAAACATCTTCTGTTTTTCTCAAGTTCTGTTGATCAAAAAAGATTTAAAAAATATTTCCTCCAAAAAAACAAAATGAGAAAAATGACTTTTCAGTCACATTCACTATCGATTATATCCGCTCACTCCATTGTATTTATCTAAATTATGTACTAATACGGTTAGAATAATATTTTTTTGCTTATGAATACAAAAAAAAATTGACTTATTTTTCAAAAGAATATTTTCCACCGTGAATATTTAATTTCGTACCGAACACACCCTCTATATGAGACTAGTAACACGGAAGTTAGAACATCACATCTAGGAAAAAAATATAATAATATTTATAATACAAATTCCTGAGTTGATTTGATTATTTTAATTTTTGGTCATGCTTTTTAGTTAAAAACAATTATTATTTATTAGCAAATAAAAGATTAATTAGATAATATCAACTTCAATGACTGGTAATAATAGTTTTAATATTAGATTTCCAGTCAGCTTTATTTCTTTTCGGTTTGAATTTCTTAAATATTAAGAAGAAGAGGGCAACAAATTGTCTTTATTCTTGTCTTGATATTCAGAAGTTGTAGCACTATAACAAATAAATGATTTTGCAGCAATTATTTAGCGAGAATAAGAAATATAGTAGTATTTATAGTTATCACTTTGTATAATATCGCTAAATAAAGAATTTAGCTATTCTAAATATAATAACATTAATTCAATTGTTGGTAAATACTTTTGCGATAGTAATTAGTGTCGCTATATAAAAAATATATTGTTACTAAATATTTTATTTTATTTAAAGTAAGAGTACATCAAATCAAAATTCACAGTAACTAGGAACTAGTCTGTAAAACGAATAGTTTTTGTGCAGGCCTTTTTTTTTCTTCTTCTTAAAAGTACCTTAAAATTATAGGAACACCTCCTTGGAGAAAACATTATTGTTTACCTAGATTGTTCAGTCTGAAAAGATAGTTAAGATCTAGAGCAAGACATTGCATAAGAATAAGGTATTGTCCGCGCTCTAGGTCTATGTCCATACAAATTTGTCCCTTGAATTTTAATCTAAAATACGTCTTAATAGTTGATTTTGAACTCATTCTTATAAGATTTCTAACTTTTTTTCTCATGTCTGCCTAAATTTGTCCCTTAAATTTTTATTTAGACAACGTCTCAACAATTGATTTTAAACTCATTCTTATTAGTTACCTAACTTTTTTTTCTCTAATTCCAATGTGGATTTCCACTTATGATTTGAATTATATTTGGAGTGAGCATTTTTTGATTAGCGTAGACCAGTAATTTGTATGGTTAAAATTAATAAATATGGGATTTACATGGACTTGTTGTACCAATTATATATATGATGTAGTTATTATTGAAATGTGAACTTTGTTTTGGAAGAAGATAGAGTTTTAATTTGTGTGATACACAAATTTTGTTAGTTTTTATGTATTTAGAATTTAATGAAAGCATATATGTACATTTGAGAAAAAAGAGGAATGAGTAAAATGAAATGATGATACATATACTAAACTAGGTATACGGCTATACGCTAGGATAATCTTATATATGTTTAGATATTATAGTCCTTTTCGATAAGTCAAAACGTAAGTCAAGTTGATAGAAATTCACTTGTTTTCAAAGAGAATCGTTGGTTAAAAAATATAAATAAAATGAAGTAAAGAAAAATCATTTCCTTCATTTATCTTCCAGAGAGAAAAAAGTGATTGAAAGTATTTATTGTGTTCCTTTTTACCCACTCCTTGTACATGGGTAATGTTTACATAAATAATCATTTCAAGTAACAATAACAATGAGATAAAACTAATCCAAAGAGCCAAATACTATTTTTATTAACTCTATATGGAAGCAAAAAGTATAATATTATATATTAGTATTAGAACTTAAAAGGCATGTGATGTTAGGTGCATCCATTTGTCAAAAAAGGGTGTATCATTTATATTAGCCCAATCACTAGGAAATAATTGGTGGGAAAGGAAGAAAGGATCTAAATATTAAAGGTATAAAGATTTTGCTTTTGCAATTTTGTCAATGCTTAAAGGAAAAGCACTTTTATTTTTTAAGTGTACAACAACATTGACAGCTTTTTTTAATATTTATAATTGTAGTATATTATTATCAGCTTTTTGACTCAAGTTAAGTGGAACCATCCATTAGGCCATTTTAAACATGCATAATGAAATTAGAACTCAAGTAGGAAGAATAATCCCTCTTGAGAAAACCATTAATTTACTAACCAAGTAAGATGAATACATAATGGCTTTTGAAGAAGAGTTATATAATTACCCTTCTTTAATAGCTTAGCTCAGGTATGTTCTTACCGTTCAAAAATTAAATTATTTATATTCAGATTTTTAGAAATTGATGGTTTTTTTAGCTTTGGTTATTACACAAATACAAGTAAAAAAGAAATATTAAATACGTTCTTTTAACATTAAACTATCAACGAAGGACATATTTACTCAATTTATATACTTTAAAGGCTTACTTAGTCCTTTTCACTTATTAATTAAATTAGCTTAATTGATTGCTCCTGTTAAATTAAGGACATATTAGCTAAATTCATAACGAAGGACAAATTTATTCAATTTCATATACTTTATATAAAGACAACATATTTGACCTTTTTCATTTTTCAAAATAAAGAGGTCCAATTTTTTTTCATTTTTCTTTAATATAGATTGCAATATGCTATAAGAATCTTTAGACAAGATGGACACAAAATCTTAACAACATGGACATTAATTGAATGTGTCACATATCTTGCTAAGTCATACTGTTGATCAAAGCTGATTCTTAAGGGAAATATTGCACATGGGTACTTAAACATGAGATTGTTATCATTTTGCAATGGGTTTGTCATTATCAAAAGTTAGGGGGATTTGTTGAGCTAGGTTAAATGTGCAGTTTTGATGATCGATAAATATAATAAAGTAATAAACCTTATATAAAAATCAGTTTTTAAGTATATATGTCTTAAATAAGGAGTTGATAGTGTTCATGACATATAAACAATTGCTCAATAGGCTCTTATTATGTCTTTTTAGAAGGTCAAAATACTTGTGAAAATCAAGTCCAATTGTGATTAATTTTCTTCACCAAATTCTAATGGATTTCGGAGCATGAAATTATAACTAGAGGATTTCGATCATAACCTCTCATATTTTACCTACCCTATATAAAACACCATTGTAATTCCTTGAAGATAAATGCTATTCACTCAAACAAGATTTATACAATTTGCAACTAGGAAGAGTGAAGTATTGTAAGAAGTAGTGGAGATTTGAAGCAAATCCCTAGGAGAGTAGGTCATGTTTTTTTTACTATTGAGCAAGAAGTTTTCCGTGATAAAATTTTTTGTGTTAATTATAATCCATACTTTACTTCTTGATTAGCTTACTAAAGAACCTGATTCCACTAGCAGGGTCAACTCGACTATAATATCACTAAAACAACTGTCTCAATTTTTTTCTTAAGATGTATTACGCACGCGCACAAAATTTTAGAAATGAAATAAGTTTTAGGTAATTGTAGTATTCTTTTTTATGTGACTATCTATTTTGTTGCCTCATCTATATCTTGATGATTTACCTAAAACCACATTATTATTTTATGTTTATCCTTTTTATTCCCCTTTCACTATTTTTATTCTCTTATTATTAAATATTCTACGGTCTCCCAAGCGGTCAAACCTTCAACATATTTGCAAAATCTATTTGTATGTTCAGAAAAATATCAAATTCTTTTTTAACGTTTTCTTCAAATTTCAAGCACTACAGAAAGTCAACACTATTTCAATATCATTATAGCAATTTTTCAAGTGTAGTGCAACATTATTTCAATATAATTATATCAACTTCTCAAATTCTTGAACCAAATTTTATTATTCTAACTTTATATTATATCTTTCCATTGAAAAATTACACTATTTACATTCTTACTTTATAAGGTTGTGTGCATCCAACCCTCTCCAGACTTGACTTGTAGGAATACACTGAGAATTCATTTATATATGTCAACTGAAAAAATTTAAAGCCTCCTTATACAAGTTTGACTTTAGGTCTCCAATCTTGTTGAGATGACCTCGTCTACTAGCTCAACCAAAAAATAATTTCAGAAAATGAGAGGAATAAGTCAATACATTCGATGGAGAAATTAGTTTACAATAAATATAGCCATGTTTTGATTTACCCAAAAAATAGCCAAAAATCATAGAAAGTATACATACACTATACATTATGATACACTTAAAAAGTTGAATATAACTTACATATACATGAATTATACACTAACTATACATTATGATACAATCAAAAACTGAATATAACTCAACTATCTATACACTAATCAATCCCGACCAACTCAAAATCACCTCTAAACAGTCTCAAATTTTAGATATGAAATTCTTTCGATATTTTAAGTCTTTTGATATATAATTCACTCGAAATAATATACTTTTGTAATATATCGATTTTTTTTAAAAAAAAATGGAAGCAACAAGGAGGACGATGAAGAAGAAAAAAAAAGACAAAAAAAAGAAGGACGACGAAGACGCAAAAGAAGAAAGAAAGGTCACGTCAACCATTTTTAATAAATAATATGGTCGAATAACCATTTTTTCTATGGACAAATTTTAGGAATAACAAATATAAAAATCATATTAGCACTCTATAGCTATATTTTTGCTATTTGCGTGCATCTGATTTGTATAAATCACATGATTCGATTCGCAAACATCTGATTTGTATAAAATTGAGTGATTGTATATGTATATCAATTTATAATTGTATATATGTAACTATTATGTATATGTATCAATGTTTGTGTTTGTATATCTGCATAAAATTTGAATTTGTATACAATGAATCGAGTTAAAAAATTTGTATTTGTATATCAAATCTCTCTCTCGCTTTATACAAACACAAATTATACATTGTATTTTGTATAAGACGAGAAAGAGAGAAAGACCAAAGAGAACTGAACAGAAGAAGATTAATATTTGTATAATTATAAGTGTATATGACGAAGAGATATGTATTTGTATTTGTATATACATTTCTCTCTTGCTTTATACAAACGACAAGCACAATTTATACAATTGTGTTGTATAAAGTGAGAGAGGCGAACAGTAGGGGTGTGCATTATTTGGATTAAACCGAAAAACCAAACCAAATCAAATTGAATTCTAATTTGGATTTATTTTTTGGGCTTTTGGTTTGGTTTTGAATTTATAATTTACTTTGTTTGGTTTTTTGGTTTGGTTTAGGATTTAGAAAAATGAAAACCGAAAAACCGAAAAAACGAAAAAACTGAATTATATTATGTATATATATATGTTTAGAATTAAGTTGGAGTTAACGTAACCACTTTTGTCCCTTTTTAGTTATTTTCATTATGATTTAGTTTATTTTTTATGTTTGGACATCTATAATTGATATACTTTTAACTATTGTGATTTACGTTTTACGTGTGATTTATATTAAAAAGTATATTTAAGAAATTCAATATTATATATATATATATATATATATATATATATAATTTTTTTCAAATTGCAAATATAACTTTGTTATGTTTCTAATTATTGACATAACCGATTAACCGAACCAAAAAAACCCAAACCAAAAAGAGAAAAACCAAACCAAACCATATTTATTTTGGTTCGGATTGGGTTACACTTCTTCAAAATCAAAAACCGAAAAACTCAAACCGAATAATATAAAACCAAACCGAAAAATCATGCACACCCCTAGCGAGCAGAGAGAGGCGAGCGAGATTAAGGGGAGAGAGGTGAATAACAAAGTGTTTGCTACGAATTAAAATTAAATAAAATTGTGACTATAACATTTATTTTGAATTGATAGATTGCTATAATGCACAATTTTCCCTTTTTCTAATATATATATATATATATATATGTGATAAGTAAAATTTATGAGCTCACATTTTAAATAAAAATGAAAGAATAAATAAATCAAAGCTACTAAATTGAAAGGGCAAATCTATATTTTAAAAAACTCATATTGTAGAAGAATCGAAGGAGAAGATGATGCGAATAAGATTGGTATGGTTTACAATAGGTTTCACTTCAGCTTCAGCTGCAATGTCTCAATTCATATTCAGAGATCTATGGGCTCATCAGCTCTCTCTTTCTTCCCAAGTATTTTTCTCTACCTTTATTATTATTATTATTGTGAAAAAATTAATGTTGATTTAGGTTTTCAATTTTTCTTCATTTTTTTAGTTGGAGGAGAAATTCGGCGTATTGGGGACTAGGGTTTCAAATCTTGAATTAGCGCTTCATGATACTCCCAATACTCAGCAGGTAAGCTAATTTTTGGGTATTATATAGAAATAATGGAAATCGTTGTTAATTTATGTTTTAAGTATGGCTGGTTATTGATTTGATAAGCACATTTCACTGGAATTAAGCTTTGTTTAGTTCTAGTCATAGAGGAAAAGACGGGCGAAAAGAATGCTCTGCAAAATAAAAATGAATTGATCTTTCTGAGAAGGATATTGACATTTTGTGCACGCCAAAACATTGAACTTGAATGTGTATAGTGAAATGTATTTTTCTGATATCAGCATACTCATATCTAGAGATATTTGGATTATGATTGTGGTGTGACCTCTTGCTAGAATTTTCCAATGCTATCCTCGTTTAGTTGAGGTACGTGTAAGTTGACCAAAATACCACCACCACCACCAATAACAATTACGCCTCAGTATCAAACAAGTTGGGCCAACTATATGGATCCTCACTTCTTCATTGAAGATTGTTTCACATCATCACAATACAAAATAAATAAAAGTGAAAAATAAGTTAATTATATATAACAACAACAATACATACCCAGTGTAATTCCATAAAGTGGGGTCTGGACAGGGTTGAACTTACACACACTTTACCCCTAACTTGCGGCTAGAGAGACTATTTCCGATAGACACTCAATGACTCAAGAGAAAAATAGTCCAAAGCAGTATGTAGAAGGAAATAACGGAAGGGAAGAAGTCGGTAAAATACTATATAAAGCATGACAAATCATTTAGTACATTATTAACAACTAAATAATACGATAACCGAAGTACAAGGTACAACAAATAGTAACATAAGTTATATATCTAATATTAGTAATAGTGTAATACTATATCAAAAATAACAATAATAATAATAATAATAATAATAATAATAATAATAATAATAATAATAATAATAATAATAATAATATTAGAAATTCTCATACAAGTCTAAAATTCACACCTTCACTTACCATAGTTTCACACCTAATGATCAGTGCATCAGTAGGTCGACACAGAACATGTCCAAACCATCTCAAGCAACCTTCTCACATTTATCCTCAATGTGTGCTACTTGCATCTTCTAGCGAATGTGGTCATTTTTAATCTTATGTAATCTGGTAAGACCACACATGCATCATAACATCCATATTTCTGCAACATTTTATGGATATGCTGGATTTTAGTAGCCAATCATTCACACCATATAACATTATCGGTCTTATAGATGCTCTATAGAATTTACCTTCCTCTTTGATAGGTATCCTTTTATCACATAACACCCCAATATCACATTTCCATTTCAACCATCCGGTTTTGATCTTATGAGTAACATCTTTATCTATCATTCCATTCTCTTAAAATAATGAGCTTAGATATCTAAATTGCTTACATTTTGGCACCACAACCCCGTCCAGTCTCACCTCTACTTTCTCTTTTCATGTGATTAAAGTTGCTATACATGTATTAAGTCTTACTTTTACTTATCCTAAAACCCTTACTCTCTTAAAGTATTTCCTCATTAGTTCAAGCTTTTGGTTGGCACCCTCGCTAGTTTCGTTTGTTAACACAATATCATCAGCAAATAGCATACACCATGTGACCTTATCTTATATTGTGTTGGTTAGCTCGTCCATAACTAGGGTAAACAAGTAGGGGCTCAATGTCATCCCTAGTGTAAAACCCTGATATGCTTTTAGTCAAACATAACGGTTCGTGATTTTCATACCTCTATTACGCTAAGATATAAATTTTCTATCACAGAGGTGCAAAATTATGGACAATATTCTTGCCTAAAGAAAGAAACGTGAAAGCTTGCAGTTTCATAGTTGGAACCACTGATGCAGTTTTCTTGTGAAATAAAAGCCCTCTAATGGCTGATGTTTACACAAACTTAGCCATCATTTCTCTTAGATGATATAAGACTGTATTTTATGACCTATATAAGAATTGACCTAACAGTAGTTGTGGCCTAAGTTCTGTAAGAACTCAAAAAGGTTTAGCTGAAAATCGAAGAATGAATATACCAGTTGGTCGCATGGTTAAAGCTTTTGGGAGTTGAAATTTAAAAGTTCTAAGGGGTCGTTTGGTCTGAGGGATAAAAATAAATAGTGATGGGATAAAATTTTTGTATCTTGTTTGGTTGCCATGTTTGGGATAACTTATCCCACCATTTATATCATAGTGATGGGATAAGTTTCCCATATACATGGTGGGATAAGTTATCTTAGGATAACTAATCGTGGGATAACTTGTTCCCAACCAAACGACCCCTAATGGTTTTGAGCTTTTAAGAGATTAAAGTGCAAACCTTGTGGCCTTTACAATTGATATGTCTGTATGACCATGTGAGAGCTACATGGATAATACATGGTTGTAGTAAGTTAACACCATGCCATTTTTTAGTTCACTTAAATATTGAACATACATTGCCCACACATTGGTAAAATGTTTATTTTTGTCTTCTCTTCTCAATAACTAAATCCAATTCTAGTTCTCTCTCTCGATGTTTACCTCCTCCCCTTTTTAAGTCTGTACAGGCAATGGAATGGGTAAGAGATTCTACCCGTTCACTCTTGTTGAAAATCATATAGGTTACAAACTTCGCTGACAATTGAGTATTGACAATAATCAACCATGAGCCGTTGTACAAACTATAATTTGAAGGTGAGGCTTTCAACAATTTGTTTTTTGTGCTCTCCATAGTAATAAGATAATGTAGTAGGTATATATAATACACTCTCTGTATATACATGCGCACACACATCTGTCTAGTTGGGTTGCAAATGATGAACTCACATTTTATTTGTTCAAGGTCCATTGGATGTCATCTTATCCTAGAGTCTCAAATTTTACATGGTGTTCCATGATTAAAAAAAGGAGCCAATGAGATTGTGCCATTTGTGTATATATATACACATATCCATCTAGTTGGGTTGCAAATGACTAACCCACTTTATTTTTCAAGGTCCATTGGAATCTTATCCTAGAGTCCCAAATTTGTGTCATGTGCCAAGTGATATGGCACGCTAAGATAAATAAAGGAACCAATGAGATCGTGCCAAGTGTACAAGTAACATGTTCCGACATGCCAATACGAACATGTCAAGTGTATAAGTAACATGTTCTGACCAGACAAATGTGATTTTATCATTGCTTTAATTTGATCGGTAGGTGAGTCGAGTCAACCAATCAAGTGAAAGCAATGGAGTTTGTCCTCACCACAATAAGAACATGCCAAGTACACTAGTGAAATGTTCTGACCAAGCACATATGAACATTGCTTTAGCCTGATTGGTTGATGACTAAAGTCAATCAATCAAATCAAGCAGATGTGTTTGTCCGCACCGTAACTCCTCTTTTTTATGACAATAGATAGGGGTACTCCCTAAGCCAAAAAGGGGGGGGGGGGGGAAGTATCAAGGAGCTACAAGAGAGTTGTGAAGAACAAGCACTTAAACTAGTCAATTCCAAAGATCTTAGTTTCATCTCAAGAATGAAGTACAATTTTAAGATTGAACGTGTATGAACTCAAATTTTCTGTTTGTGCCAATTGAATTCAAGATCATTGTTTGTGCCTTGTGGTGATCATTGAAGTTCCGCATCAACCATAAAAAATCAAGATCAAACTTCCATAGACCTTGACTCAAGCTCAAGATTGTAATCAAGATCAAACATTCCAACCCTTGAATTAAAATCCAAGTCCATTAAATTCAAGTTTTAGTTATCAAAATGTTAAATGATATTTGAAGAGAAGAATTAGAGGATACATTTGAATTTTAGTAATTGTAAACTCCGCTAACAGTAAACATAATCAGGTTTGTCACATCCTCTAGACCAATAAATATTTGTCTCCAATGAGCGGTGGACCTATCACTTCCATGTCTGTAATTGTAATGTAAGTGGAGAAGTCATTCATTAGATTTAGGGATGGCAATTGGGGTAGGGCAAAGGCTTAACAAGGCAGGACAGTGCAATACTTAAATGAAACAGGGCAGGGAAGGACGGGTTAAAATTTATATTTTTTAGTATATTAAATGCGGCAGGGCAGGGGGCACCTGTTTTGGACCTTTGGCCCATTCTTTCTTCTGAGCTTTGTTGGTAGCTTACTGAGTACATAATCATACAAGTTCACCAAGGAGTTGGTCAGTTCTGTGAGTTTCAAGGGTGTAGTGAACTTGTTAATACTAATTTATTTCAGTGGGATTCATCCATATATTTAACAACATACCCAGTGAAAGTAGGCAAAAAGAAAATGAACAATATTTTCTTTTCTTCCAAGGTAACTAGAAGGGTCAATTTGGTTCACTCAAAATATAAATATAAATTGGAAAACCCATAAAATAATAGTATGAAAACAAAAATATTAGTGATAAATACTTTATATTTAATGTGCATATATAGAATGACATACATATTAGATATAAGTTTTAAAAAGGAGTTGGTCTCCAGCATATCCTTAATGCTGATGAATACAACATTATCTTTATAAAAAAAAAAAGAGTTTTAAAAAGGAGTACAGATGCAACTTAAAAAACTGTTAACTTCAAAAAAGGAGTACAGATGCAACTAGGACGTGAGTATTAATTGGTTGTTTTCATTGCAAGCAACTAAAACCATTATTATTTTCTATCCCAAATGTTGTTTGCCTGTAAACTCACTTGAAAAGCCTGGTGAAATTAGTTGACCTATAAAAATAGTAAGATTGGAACAAGTTCTTCTTTCTTTTCTTTGTCTGATGTCTATTTCACCTTTGCTATTTGACTCTACTCAATCGATGACATGTTTTTGCAAATTCTTTTAGCTAATTCAGCAATCCATCATTCAATTTTGTCTCTTGGAGAAATAAAATCAGTGTTCCATTACTTACTGAGAACTTTCGCACTGTAAGTTCTCCCTGTCCGTCGAACTTCTTATATTCCATCTAATGGTTTTTACTTTTATTTTACAACTACAAACAACTTGTGTGCGAGTGAAGAATAATATTAATTGGCAATTCAAACCATTCGTTTCCTTGCTTCTTCG